CGTGGACGAAGTCGCAGTTAATAGCTTGTATAAAATTACTTATTTATATCATATTAGTGTACGATATACAAGTACGTAGTTAGTTTAAAAACATGTTAAAGTACATATTCGTGTGAGTCGTTTAGTATTGAAGCTGTATTTATATATAAATGATAAACAATCATGTTTGTCGTCAGTGTAATAGAGTCGTATTGTTAGGATGAATTAAATATAATAACCTGGCGGTGTACTCAAAGGTGTTCTGCGTATTATTGAGGTGCACGGCTCACTGCCTCCGCGCCGCGCCGTACTATGAAATAATTCAGTTTGCTAATATTGTTTGCCGACGCCGCAGCTGAAAACGAAATATTTCAGGCCATTTTCTTACGAAAACATGTTGAGCGCGCGTCCCCATTATCAGAGGACGGGCCCGTGACGTCGACGTCGCGTCTGGGCTTGCCACTCGTACTTATAAAATCATCATCATCATCTCAGCCTGGAAGACGTCCACTGCTGGACATAGGCCTCCCCCAAAGATCTCCACGACGATCGGTCCTGCGCTGCTCGCATCCAATGCCTTCCAGCGATCTTGACCAGATCGTCGTTCCACCTAGCTGGAGGCCTTCCCACGCTGTGTCTTCCGGTCCGCGGTCGCCACTCGAGGACTTTACTGCCCCAACGGCCATCTGTCCTACGAGCTATGTGCCCTGCCCATTGCCACTTCAGTTTCGCAATTCTTCGGGCTATGTCGGTCACTCTGGTTCTTCTGTGGATCTCATTTCTAATTCGATCACGCAGAGAAACTCCGAACATAGCCCTCTGAGTGACTCTGAGCTTGTTTGTGAGGCCCGTATTTAGCGACCACGTCATCACTGGCAACACACATTGGTCGTAAACCTTCGTCTTGAGACACTGCGGAAATTAAGTTATAATAAAGTATTGTACATATTTCAGGTAGTCGTACTCTATACTTTATGTGAATAAAGTACACGAAAATACGTTATTTCGCGTGATTTGATTTCTTTGGGATTTTGTAAAGTTTAGTCGTATGTATCTTTTCATTAAGTGAAATTCATCGATTGGTGCTGACTGATTTTATTAATTATTTATTTTAATTTAAATATTGACTGTAAAGTTGATGTGCAATTATTTAATAGAGATACTAATTTGATACAATATCTTCTAACTTCTTTATTATTATATTTAAAATATATTTTTAAATATAATAATAAAGAAAGATAAATTATACTTTATTTTGATACTATGTACTTTTTTTCTTACCTATAATAACTAATTTATCTGCAAAAAAAAAAGATGGCAACCCTATTCGCGTGACGCCCCTGCCGGCCACGTGTCAACGCGCAGGGAACTAATCGCTGAATGATATTATCACCGTGTGATGACAGAAGCAGAGTGCAGTCGAACGTGTCATGTTGACAGATGATACAGGACACAGGTTATAAATTTACACACCTTATATAAATACCAGCTGACCCGGCAAACGATGTTTTGCCATATAAATTAAAATCGCTATAAAAAAATAAAGGTTTTGTGATAGAAGTGTTTTTTATGGTGAGTCACCCTATACATCATACAGAGGTATAAAAATTAGTCATAAACCTATTCTCAGACCTACTGAATATACATATAAAATTTCATGAAAATTGGTCAAGCCGTTTCGCGGAATATAAATGCGAAACCTGTGACACGAGAATTTTATATATTAGATATATATACTAGCTGTGCCTGCGGCTTCATCCGAATGGAATAGTGCAAATAAAGATATAATATTTAAATATTTGACCCAAACAAGCAAAAAAAAATTACATCGTTCTTCAGAAATGATGAATTCCTATACAAACTTTCATCACCTATTTTATTTTTATTAAGGGTAATATTTACGTTCTTTGAATGTCACATTTATTTATATTTAATCAGTAACCTCAAACATAAGTATCAAGCTTCTAGCTTTAAAATAACGGTACTTCCATACAATCTTTCATCTCCCCTTTCCAATACTTTACAACCATTATTAGTATTAAAAAGTAGGCTATGTCCATCCTCAGGGTCTAGACTATCTGTGTACCAAATTTCATTTAAATGGGTTCAGTAGTTTTGGCGTGAAAGCGCTACAAACAGATAGACAGAGTTACTTTCGCATTTGAAATATTAGTAAGTATATCTACTACGTACATGTGGGACATACTCGTATCTTCATTGCGATCGCGTTGTGACACGCCGCGCCGCGCCGTAAACGTATATTTGCATGTTCATTTTATTCAGGTAGTTATTGTACTCCATACGTAACTAAGCGAATAAAAAAGGGATTCGTAACGTACCGACCGGGAACACAATGTGTCACCGCTCGGTTTTATGTATTGCATCCATATCACGAGGATATAACACAATTACAACGCTGTGAACAGGACAATTATAAATGAAATCGTATGCCATGCCGTATGGCCAGCGTGTTGTAACTGGCTAATACAAATGTATTTTATATTTTAAAATGGTATTTAAATTTAAATAAATTTTGATTGTACATCTAAATATAACTCAAAGGTAACTGACTGACATAGTGATCTATCAACGCATAGGCCAGATGTTATGACGTAGGCATCTGCTAAGAAAGGATTTTGATTAATTCTACCCCCAAGGAGATAAAATAAGGGATGAAATTTATATGAAACTTTGTCAATTTTAAACCGATCAGGCTGAGACTTTGCGTGCATAAACCTACTATAACGTAGGGGAAGGGGATTGTTAGTAATGGGAACTAATAACCCCCAATGCTAACAATGTACCATGTTAGGTCGACCTCCACGCGGTTCCTCCTGGAAACCATCGTTATAAATTCCTAGTGAATTTGTCACTATGGGCTAATTGACCTGACATCATATTCATCTTATCATCCTCCACTGGTGCCCCGCCAGCGTAAACCGTTAGCGCAGACGGGTGCACCATTTCATTATCATCCACAAAAAAACCTACTATAACGTAGGGAGCCGCAGGTAAAAGCTAGTTCTTTTATAAATACTTTCATTCTGTTCTGTTAATTCAAGATAGATCCCGCGTTTCGGGCAGTATAACCGTGAGGCTGGAATGGCCATGTGTTGGTTGGAGGGTTGTTCTGTTATGTCAATACAATACTAACCGAATATATATTTTCTCCGTAAACCAAATGTTGTTCCTTTTACCTATACAAAAATAAAACCAGAACACAGCGGGACAATACTAAATTGTTAATAATAATAATAACCCTGGACAGTTAACTGGACGCCACCTGGTCCCACGGTAAGCAGAGCTTGTGTTATGAGTACTAGACAACTGATATAAATACTTAGATATATTTTTTACAAATACATACATATTATACATAGAAAACACCCAGACCGAGACAAACCATTATACACATGAATGCAAATTTATACCTTGCGAAGAATCGAACCCGCAAATAGTTAGTAGTTATAGGAAAAAGTGGAATCGAAATGAAGAATTAATGTAAAAAATATGATTCAGTAAATATACGATATCCAATAGTAATTAGTTTCAATACCTCAGTACATAATAATGAATCGAAACATAGAGAAAATTAAACTATTAAAATATATAATACACTGCAATACAATTATACTATACTAGCGACCCATCCCGGCTTCGCATTACATATCTTTGAATTTTTCAGATTGTTTTATACTATATTCCACATATAAACCTTCCTCTTAAATCACTCTACCCATTGCTGAAAACTTTTTTTCGGACTACACAGTTAGATTGGTTATTTCAATAGTCCAAACAGACACTCCAATATTATTTATATGTATAGACTTAGTGATTTGCGCGGTCGTAGCGAGCGTAGTCGCTCGTAGACGCTCGTAGACAACCCGTAGGGCGTCGTAGCGCTGAGCTACGCCACGCTACGAGTATTCGCTGATCGCTTGCAGGTGATTGCACTGTAGAGCTATTCTGTAAGCATCACTTACGAATTCGAAAGCGGAATCCGCGGTGAGATTGTACGTTGGTATTCTGTAAAACTCGATAGCGACTGGAGCGCCACACACACACTCGATAGCGGGATGGAGGTAAAACAGGTACTAGTATTTTTTTTATAAATAGGCAAACTCTATGGCTCAGTAGAAACTTTATATCTGCAAATGTATACGAGTCCGTTGAGTGAAGTGAGTCGATAAAACTCTTACTGAATACCAATTCTGCACTTGTAGTGCAGGCTGCACACTAGTGTTACTATTCGTGTGATATATAGTTCGATCTGGATGTTTTTTATGTTATTGTACATAAAAAACATCCAGATCGAAACAAACAATTGTATGTATTCAAAAAAAAATTAATCTATGTATTTGTATCAGTTGTCGAGTACCCATAACACAAGCTTTAGCTAGCTTAGTTTGGATATAGATCGTTGTATATTGTTTGCTTTACTATTAATAATGGACGGTTCCTCACGTCTTTAATAATTAGTAATCATTTAAACCAAAATGATCGGATGCCTCAATGAAGGAGTTACGTTTTTCTTACATTTGTTTTTAATTTCTAATTCTTTCAATTTTGTAAGTTTTGACTACATACTTATTTCTGTTACAAATATATCTTTATGTTACACACTTCAATAAAACTAATTAAAAAAAAATACATATTTATTTGTTGTTATCAGAATTATGTACAAAAAAGACTTAAACTATACAGACTGACTGACTGACTGTTACTTACTAATAATATCTCGCCTTGAATTGTATACTTAATAAAAAAATGTAATGACACACCGATACCAGGTTTTATAGATTTATTATGGATATATATATTAAAAAAATGGACTCAATAAATACAAACTGTCGTACACACATAAGACTGCTGAATTTATATGAAAAAAAGGTAAGAAAGTTCCAGACAACCGCACGTAGTGCTCGGCGCAGGATGCGAACCAAGTCCGATCGCCCATTAGTTTTACGCCGAGTTTTCCCAGACCGCATGCCCACCGGTGGGTCACGCCGCAGCGAAAGTAAATTTACACGTTGCGAGCGGGCGACCAGCCCAGGGCACTTTAATTGAAACAATTCTTGTTAAATATTGTCTACCTCAAATTATTGTACACTAAAAACATACGGAAAAATAAAATACGTAATTAACAATAAAAAATGCAGGTCCCTAGGTGAGAAATAGATTCTTCAATGCTGTCTTCAACGTGTTATACCGGTCAGGACAACGGGAATTACAATTTTCTATATATTCGTTAAAATTTGATATGTCCTACCTACATACATACATACATACATCGTAACTCTTTGTTAACTACTCTCTCATTCCGCAAGTATTACAATTAAATATATTTACATACTAATTTTATACATTCATGGACATTATTATATAATATCTAAAAGTTAACTGTTCGTTGCATTTAGAATTTAATTATTGTAAATTTACAATTATATGTATTTACTAATATTTACAACAAGCGCATATTTTGTAGAGTTCAACGAAATTATTATTCAACGTTATTGTTGATTCGAGAAATAACACTTCATTCAGTGAGTATAGGACGACACAGTAGAGTCACATTTAGTCATTTGAATATATTATTGTATATTAAACTTGACAATTATTGTTTTCACCAAACCAAAAGCAATTTAAAACATTGCACACAATGCACAAAATTAGAACACACTCATCACTAACTGAGCGAATGAAGGAGCACGATCCAGAGGAAGGCTGACAGTTCAAAGTGGCGAACGTCGAGCGCTTTACTGGAGAGCGCGCTGGCGTGGCACTCGGACTCGTCGGCGTCCAGCGCCAGCAGCGGCTGAGCGACGGCGGCGGCGGAGGGGCGGGCGGCGGCGGCGGCGGCAGCGGAGGGGGGGGCGCGGCACGTGCTGCGCCGCGCCGCCTCCCGCGCGCCCCGCGACCCCCCGCCCACCTCCACCGTCCACCGCCGCAGCCACGCGCCCACCCACGACACCGAGCACCCGCACCGCAGCGGATTCCCCGACACCACCAGCCCACCTGTTGCATACACGATTACACGCTATAGTCCTACAAATCAATTTAACCAGATTATGATTAGATGGCAATAGCGACTGGTTGTTATTGTTCCTTACCTGGCAACAGTCGGGTCGCGAGACGATTCCATCCAGTGAGATTTGGGTAAAGCGTCGCCGGACTAAAAATGCTGAGTCGGTTATTACTGATGTCTAGTGCTAGATGAGGCACGCGCACCAGGGGACGCACCAGTCCCGCTGGCAGCGCGTCGATGCTGGACTCCGTCAGGCGCAGCGCGAGCGCACGCTGCTGTCCCAGCGAGACGAAAGCGTCCCCGGACACTCGCTTTAGTGCCATACCTCTCACTTCGATAGCTCGTAATTTCATTGCTCGCACATCATGAAATTGCTTGTCCAAAATTTTATCCCGCATATGCACTGAAAGTGACTCTACTGCAACAGTGGATGCCATTATATCGGCCAAGGTAACGTCCCCTCGCTCGGTGCTCGTAGGTGACTCGAGTGCTACCGTACGCAGTGAGCACAGTGACAGAAAAGCACGAGGTTCGATAGTCTCGAGATGTCTCAAGTGGTCCATACGTAGGTGTAACAGACGATCGAGTCCGTCGAATGAGCCCCGTGTTATACGAACTATTGGATTATGAGATACATCGAGAGAAGTGAGCTGTCTGAGTGTCGACCACATGGCCGGCTGCAGTGAAGTGAGTCTATTGCGGGCTAGGTTCAATATCCGTAGGTTAGCTAGTCGACGTACGTCGTTTTCACGAAAAGAAAATATATGATTATCACTCAGGTCGAGTTCTGTCAGATTAGCGAGAGGCAGATGTGGAACAGACTTTAATCCGGTAGCGGCGAGACCGAGTCGACGCAAACGCGGCAAATTATGAAACAATTCCTTAAAATTAGTTTTAATCGCGTTAAATGAGAGCTCTAATAGCATCAGACGTGAAAGGCCAGCGAAAGTATTATCCGAGAGTACAGTAAGAGCATTGTTTGCCAGATTCAATTCGTGGAGGAAAGAAATGGCGTGAAACATGGCGACGTCTAGGTATTCTAAATGGTTATGCGCCAGTTCTAAACGCCGCAGAGTAAACCCAACATGTGTGAGCGCACTACTCGGGAATATACTTATCTGATTTTTGCTAAGATTAAGATGTTCCAGCACAGTATTTTTAAAGGAATCTCTGGGTAGCGACCTGAGTTCATTGGCATCAAGGCGTAGGTGCCGTAGTTGCTGCATATTTTGAAATTGTTCCGCCGAGAGTTGTGTCAATTTGTTATAGGACAAGTCGAGCACTTGCAGCGAAACCATTTCGGCAAATGCTTTTTTTTTCACTACAGCTATTTTGTTGTTATTCAAACGCAATACATCCAGTTTCGGTAAAGAGCCGAAACTGAAGTTATCTATATTCGTCAATACATTATATGACAGTACAAGTTGTCTCAGACTCGATCCTAGATAATTGTAAAAATTTTCAGATATACTTTCAATAAAGTTGTGTGATAAATCTAATACAGTAATGTGCACCATGTGGCCACCGCTCAAGTATGATATTCTATTATAACTCACGTTTACTGAGAAGTTAATATCCTCCTTGGATACATTCTCAAAGTATTCGGTGGAAAACTCAGTTAATTTATTCTGTTGCAAGTCTAGCACTTCTAATTTCGGCAAATTGCAAAACGTTCTCTCGGAGACGTACTCGACGACATTTCCAGCTAAAGTTAAATAAACTAAGTTTGGCAGATTTGCAAAACTACGCTCGCTAATGTTGTGCATGCGATTGTAAGACAAGTCTACGCTTCGCAACTCTATTAGACCTGCTAGAAATTCTGAGTTAATTTTACTTACATAATTATACGATAACCTTAACTCCTTCAATATGAAAGAACTATTCGTTTCGATTGCTTCTGTGGGAAATTCTATAATCTTATTAAAATCTAGATCGAGATATTCCAAAGAAGAGAACATTTCTATTTCCCTTGATGATAAGAAGTGAATATTATTGTTATTTAGACTAAGCCAACTCAATTTGTCTATAGGTGTAGTGATGGGGAACTCTCCGCTGAATAGAGTCGATGATAGTTCGAGCACTTCTAGCGTTGTAAGGTTCACAAAAACATCCGCGTCCACGTTGTAAAGGTCGTTGAAACTAAGCACGAGTTCGCGAAGCGGCAAAGTTGCCGGGAATGCACCGGCTTCGAGTTGGGACAATCGGTTGCCCTTCAAGCTAAGCGTCACCAACGCATCTGACCAAGGTCCGAACATATCGCCCGATATTACGGATATTTGGTTGTAGCCGAGGTCCAGATATGCGAGTGTGGCATCCGCCAAATCACTCAAAGCTACCGGGAAGGACGTTAGATAGTTGCTCGTTAATGATAGTGAATGGAGATTAGGCGGTAGACCTGTCATGTCCTCTAAACGATTATATGCCAACGACAAATGCCGCATACGGGTCATTTCCCGTAAATTTGCAGGAAGCGATGTCAGATCATTATGATCCAAGTCCAGTTGCTCCAGATTATGCTTTAACAATGCTATAGTCGATTCCGATACGTATTTAAGTCTATTATAAGACACGGACAGTTTTTCGAGGCGACCACTATCGAGCACGAACGAAGGTATCACCGTGAACTGGTTCAAGTCTAACATCAGTTGCTTTATTTGAATTCTATTTTGAAAATCTAACTGAAACGTGTCATCGAGTTCGTTGTGGCTCAAGTCTAGGGAATCAATTTTGGAGTAGTGTGCGTGACAGGTGCGGTTGAAAGCGGCTCGTAATACGTTGTTACGGAGGTGTAGGTGTTGGAGGCGCGGCAGGCGCTCGAGACTGGCGCACGGCACGTGGGGCAGCAAGTTGTCGGACAAGCGCAGCACGGCGAGAGCGGGCGGCAGCGAGCCGGCCGCCAGCGTCCGCAGGCGGTTCCCGTCCAGGTGGAGCTGCGCCAGCCGACGGAGCTGCGACAACGCGCCGTCGCGTAGCACCACCAGGTGGTTGTTACTGAGAGATAAGCTGCTCAAACACTCTGACAGGAATCCCCAGTCCATCGTCGGGTCTATATCGCTTATGTAGTTGCTGAAATATTGCAGACAACATTAATAAAAACAACATTTTGTATATATTAAATGGCAATGTGCCGTGACATACTTTTGTAAATTAAGCCAATTCAGCACCCGCAGTTCTTGTAAAGCTTCTATTGGTATTTCAGTAAATTCATTGTGTCCTAAATCTAGAGATGCCAGAGTGGCAATCATTGACCTGCGAATGAAAAGATAATGTTTATATATTATGTAGAGTCAGAGATGTGGTGAATGTCATGTTGTTTGGGTGTACGTACGAGAAGGCGCCGGTGTCGAGGTGGTGGAGGCGCGATGCGACCAACACCAGCGTGCGCAGACGGCGGGAGTCGAGCGCCGCCTCCCCGAGCGAGCCCAGCCGCGCCTGCGACACCGACACGTGCCACGTCTCCGCCTCTACACCCAACATATCACCAACAACATACGTGTACTACGCCACTTACGTAAAAAAGTTAATTATGATGATTCTGAAAACATACTCACAGTAATCTTATAAAACACACCAACCATATTCATGCACCACCCACACACAGACACCGTACACTCACACGTACTCACTCACCTTACTCACTCACTCATTCACACTTAGACTTAATTTTTACAATATAATTCGTATTCTGGCTCGTACAGGACAGATCCGGCCTAGTGTAGGAATCAATGCTATTGTGTACATATGAAACAATTTTGATAAATTATTATTATTATTAAGTCCTGTTCGGACATCGTCGTCTCGCCGGACTGGAGTCCGCGAGGGTGGTGGTGCGGGGCGTGCTCGTGGGGGTGCGCATAGCACCGCACCGCACCGCCCGGACTCACTTCTGATCTCACCACCGAATACGACACGCGCGCTCAATATTCCATTTAATTTAAAAGTCCTTAGTGTAGGACCCTACAGTCCAGTCCATATAACAACAATATTCCCTATATTGTTGTTAAGGCGCAATCAATCACGGGGTCTCGTGATTAACCCATCCCACATACTATGAGTACATTACATTAAAAATATAGTTTATATCAATGACACTAAGCATATATGTTATTAATTTGTCTTATGTATCGTATGTAAATATAACACGAAATGTAATAAAAATTGTCGTCCTTTCTGTGTGATCGAGTGTTAATAGAAACATTCCTTTCTCTCAATAAAAAGTAGATGATGATGACAAACTCCAGTACTGACGTGACGCATCACATCTGAGCCCCGCAATCCGTTGTCTAGTACTCACAACACACGGTCTGTTTGTACTATCCTTTTGTTGTTGTGAAAATAAAACAAATATTTTGTACTAATGTAAAGGATCTTGTATTTTCCCTCCAATGATTCAGCTCAGAATGACAAATTTAAAATTACAGTGTTCTGTGTTCTTTTTTAAAGTTATATACTACAATGCAGCAAAATGAGGCTGCATACATTTATAAGTAACAACACCTAACGTCTTAGACACGGCCTGTTTATCTTAGGAACAGACTTGACTAGTATGTCAATTATTGTAGATTATTATTATTGTTATACAGCTATGGTTGAAATGCAATACAACTATAGCAAACTAACTAGTATTCCTCTATATATTCACTGTATATATCAAACTAGTCTATAGTAACGTCCAACAAGTAAGAATTTGAATAAGTTAACTAGTTTTAATATTCATAGATTTATTTTCCAATAGAATACCTTCAGTTAAAAACATGATGATGCTTCATTCATGCTTATAGAAATAGAAATAATCTTTATTCAAATAAACTTAATATAAACACTTTTAAATAGTCACATTTATTTATTTATTCTACCGCTCATTCGGAATGCAGACACAAGAAGAATGAGCATGAAAATTGTGTTGTTGCTCTTTTAAATAAATATTATTTTAATTATATTTACATTAACAAGGATTAGGCATGCGACAATCAACATAGAAACCGCTACCCACTTAATCTCTGTTCAATCAGATAACATTGTCAGCGCTATGAATTTTATGTTAGATATTTTCTACAAAAACATTATTTATATAAATAAATATGTGTACCTGTGTCGGGGAACCTGTGGAACGGTACGTGGTGGCAGTCGAGGTGGTCGCCGCGGCACACGCAGAGCGCGTTGGAGGCGCAGGGCCGCGCGGGCGCCGCCGCCGGCTCCGGGAGCCCCGCCGCCAGCAGCAGCGCCGCCGCCACGTTCAGCACGCGGCCCCCGCACCACCGCCGCATCACGCGCCGCCACTAGCGACCAACACTCATTGGAATTCATGCCCACACGCTGGTACCTGAGTGGTCTCGGACAGTGCGGTTTCAGTGGAGATTCCTCCCACGTTTCATAAAGGTCGGCAACGCGCACGTAACACGTAGCGTTTTTTTTTATGTAATGATTTGTATTGTGTTATTTCTATTTCATATAAATAAAATTGGAGTGTCTGTTTGTAATATTGAAATAACCGTTTTCTACTACATGCATGTGAATATAAATACGGTGCATACCCCAAAATAACTTTTTTTACAATTTTTGTCTGTTCCTGTCTGTTTGTTCCGGCTAATCTCTGAAATGGCTGGACCGATTTTGACGGGATTTTTTTTGGCAGGTGCTGATGTACATAATAAGGAGTAAGTTAGGCTACTTTTATTTTAGAAAAATAAAGTTAAATTCCACGTGGTCGAAATCGCGGGTACAGCTAGTATGTTATAATAATTTATATGGTGCTGTGCTGTGCTGTGCTGTGCTGTGAGCATCGTCATTGTTGTGTTGTGATGTGTGATTGTAATAAATATTATTCTATTCTATTCTATTCTAACCAAGTCAAGGTCATTATTCCACGCGAACGAAGTCGCGGGCACACCTAGTGTGTAATAAAACTATTTATAACGGAATAAATGCTTTAATGGTAAGATGGTAGACAGTGAAGTGACATATTATATAGAATTTGTTTTATATGTTTTTGATTAAAGAATACACAAAATAAACTTTGGATATATTATCAAAAGAGTTTCACAACAGAAATAAGCAGAAAATATATGGCCCTCCTCTAGAGCTGCCTGAGCTACGCTCGTAGCGCTGTAGTACGGCAGCACACGGTACATGGACCACACGGCACAGCCGCCAGAAATTACAATCTTCATTTGTCATATCGCAGAATACCGCGCTTTACTCACGCTGTACCCCAAGTCGTCCCAACTTCGCACGGATGCATTACAAATCTTTGAACTTCTCGGCTTGTTCTATACTATAACACGCATGTATTACATAAACCTTTCTCTTGAATCACTCTATCTTTTGCTGGAAACAACATTAAAATCCGTTGCGTAATTCAATACCGCGAATTAGCGAACAGAGTCGGCGACTTTGTTTATACTATGAGTAAAAATGAATTAATATAGAGAGGTGCTTCTAGAGACGTCTATTATAGCAGAGCACAGTGACAGAAGTAATAATAAAACAATTGTATAACAAAAACTATCATATTTTAAATATGGATAAACGAATATAAAAACTGCCGGTGACTCTCATTGTAGGTCCAACACTATGTGAAGAAAAAAAGTTAATTCATTAATATCAAAACCGCCTACAAACTTATTACAATTATGGACTGTTCAGTTTCTCTAAATCCAGAAAATATCACCAAGATATGTATATATTGTACTTTTGTGACTCTTGAGATATTTGCTATATTTAAAAGAAACATAAAACACTTCAATAGTTAAAATAAATTTTAATGCGATTTTGATGACGAGCGTGCATTCCAATAGTTGTTCATGCACAGGATTTTCATTTAATGTTAGACATAGACACCTATATAAATATACATTGAAAATAAACTGGCTTTAAAAAAATAAGTAATTTAATTGAGTTTCTTGCCAGTTCTTCTCAATTGGATCTATATACTGAACTGGACGGTAGGGAAAAAATTAAAATTATAATGTAAAAATTTGACGTTCATAAGCGGCTAAAATGTCCTACATGAATAAATGATTTTTGAATTTGATGTGTATGAATCTGAGGAAATTATTAAGCTAAGACTCGTAGATATATTGTGAAGTTCTGAAGTTCCACCTCGTGTCACTATACAGACCGCTGCACACTGTCGTTTCCATGTTTCCAGCTACTGCTTTCTCAGTACAAAATAAGTAGTTATATGCGCTCTAAATATATTTATTGTACTTAACGTTATCGTAAAAGTTTACGTTCTAGGCAGCTGACTAAGATTCCCGAGTAATCACTCGCATGCCGTCCCAATTGTATTGGTAACAGTGGCGGTGGTAGCCGCATGCCGTCCGCAGCCACCGTCACCCCGTCACCGAGTTACTGTCCCATTATTTTTCTGTATAATTCTCAAATCTTCGGCGAGGGTCGGTGTTACGAGAAGTGGATTTAGTGTAAGGGTCGGCAGTTAGGCAGGACTCGGCGCCCATATATAATACGCACATTATGCTGCCACTGCGTGTGTGTGCGTCCGTTGCCAGACCTCTGTGCGTTAGTGCACCTGTGTGCGTGTGCGCGTGTGTGCGCAGGTAACAAACGCGTGTAATGAATTATTCATAATGTCCGGGATATACGCGAACTATCGCCTACATTCGCATAATGTTGGTGTCCCACTACACAGCTGCACATAACACAATTATAAATGTTTATACATACATTTATTGTATGGAAATGTTTATGTATTTTTATCAAAATATTTTCGTAACATGCGTGTTCGTTCAAGTAATTTAGTTATAAAATCCAGGCCTGCTGGCTGTAAGGTGCACTAAAACTTATACGCTCCATGTTCGTATCATAAATATATATGGTGCCGTAAACAGTCGAAAGTGAATTAATGGCGGGGCTCAGTACTCTGTACGTTGTGACAATGTAACGTGCACTCGATTGTAATCTTATCTTAATATAATATTATAAACGCGAAAGTTTGTGAGTGTGGAATATGGATGGACCGATGTTTGTTACTCTTTCAAGCCAAAAATTCTTAACGGAATTTGATGAAACTTTACAGTAATTATAGTTCATACATCAGAATAACACACCTTATCATTACATAGTATAAAACAAAGTCGCTGTCGCTGTCTGTCCGTCCCTATGTATGCTAAAATCTTTAAAACTACGCAACGGATTGGAAGCGGTTCTTTTTAGTAGATAGAGTGATTCAAGAGGAAGGTTTATATATATAACACATGTACACCCGTGCGAAGCCGGGGTGACTAGTTATTAATATTATAAATACGAAAGTTTATAAGGTATGTATGTATGTTACTCTTTCACACAAAAACTACTAAACGGATGTTGATGAAACTTTACAGTAATATAGTTTATACATCAGAATAACACATAGGCTATGTTTTATATTGAAATTTACAGCACAGTACAGCTATAATTTAAAAAGATATTATATAAATTGGGTGTAATCTATCTATCTAAATATATTATATATAACTCAAAGGTGACTGACGTAGTGATCTATCAACGCACAGCACAAACCACTGGACGGATCGGGCTGAAATTTGGTACTCAGGTAGATGTTATGATGTAGGCACCCGCTTAGAAAGGATTTTGATTAATTCTACCCCCAAGGGGATAAAATAGGGGATGAAAGTTTGTCAATTTTAAACCGATCGGGCTGAGACTTTGCATGCATAAAGCTACTTTGACGTAGGCATCCGCTAAGAAAGGATTTTGATAAATTCCACCCCTATGGGGATAAATTAACGGGAGCGAAGCCACGGGCAAAAGCTAGTATAATGATAAATGTAAAGTAAGTGTAATGCAGACAAAGATCCGTGGGTGAGGTAGTGAGAGCCTAACATAAAAGTAGCTATGTCCTTGTTGGTGTGTTATCTATCATCTACAAATACGTACATCCCACGTTACATCTACAACTATGAGTGAGTATTGAACAATAACTAACTACGTGTAGGTATTGTAATTACTCAACAATTATTTGTTTCATTGCGAGACAGTACTCAAAGGAGTGTAATTATTATTTTGATCAAGTTTTGTCGTTCGTATTATAAAGTTGATCCTGGGTCCCTCACTAATACCTGGCTTGTCATTATGAATACTAAATAACTTGTTATTGTCTTCTTCAAATTAGATACAAACGTGTGTGTTTCGGACAGCTACCACTACTACAGGTACATACTATCACCTCACCACTGTAGCGTTATGTTATATGTTGTGATGAGGTGTCACTACATAATATATTATTTATTGTGGTATGTAGGTAGTGAGTAGTGAGTATACAGCTGTAATAATTGTACTATTTATTGTACACTAGCTGTACTCGCGACTTCGTCCGCGTGGAAATTGTCTAAAATAAAAGTAGCCTAAGTTACTCCTTATTACATCAGCTAATTGCCAATAAAAATCCAGTCAAAATCGGTCCAGCCATTTCAGAGATTAGCCGCAACAAACAGACAGACAGACAAAAAATGTTATTTTAGTTTATGTACCGTATTTATATTAATATGCATGTAGTAAAAAACGATTATTTCAATATTACAAACAGACACTCCAATTTTATTTATATGTATAGATTAGTAAGTTTATTGGTGTGTTCGCGTTCATTCGACACGGAGTCGAGACGTAGACTGATTTTACATTGAACTTATATATAATATATAGCAGTAGATACATAAACTAATGGAAGGGTCTCAAGTGTTGAGAGAAATATTACAAGTGTAGACACAACATGATATAATCGGAATTAAATTTAATAAACGAAAAAATATACGAACGAACTACGAATATGTACCTATGAAGTAAAGCTACGATATTGTAGCAAACAGGTATGTATTCCTCTTTACGACCATACAACACTATTATCTTTTACAACTTATAAGGAATAAATATGGACAAAAAAATTTAATCTTTCAAAGTATTTTAATGAGTAATTTTTGTTTAGTAATATTTGATATAATATAAGTCATTCAATTGAGTTTTCTTCTCAATTGGATCTATATACTGAACTGAATGGTACGGAAAATAATATATTATAAAAAATTAGACGTTCATAAGCGGCTAAAATGTCTACTTGAATAAATGATTTTTGAATTTGAATAAGATTTCGAATTAATATTTAATGTATTAAATAAATCTTAAAAAATCATATATGGCAATGTATATAAAAAAAAAGATTTATATACATTGCCATATATGAGTTTTTTACAATTTATATCTCAATATAAATTGTTTTTAAGAGGTAAAAATTTTTTTATTTCTTTCGCAATTACAGTAATTGTTCTATTTTGCAGATAAATATGAGTTTAAATTTTAGTTTTAATCGGCCATAGAATAGAATAGAATATCATTTAATTAAAACTTAATATAAGCACTTTTAAATTATTATTTAAATTTGATTTGAAATGCATATCTGAGCAGTGTAGACAAGACATCAAATATGTCGTTTGTTCGTTCACTACCAACTATATGTAGAGACAGCTCATACAGGCAGCTCGAAAAGTAATTTTAGAACAAAATAAACAGTACGGGCTCGGATTATTGGAACATAATTATAATATACGAGCGAGCTTAGAATGTTACCTGAATAGAAACTATTATATGTAGACGGCAACCACGATTACGACAAGTAACAAAAGACGCCATTGTTTCGTATATCTACGTGATATCATAATTATCGTAATTTAACATATAGTCGTTTATAAACGCTGTTTATTTGACGGTGAAATATAAAAATATATACATTGTACAAAGTACAATACTGTACAGTGGGACACGGAAAATCTATACAAATAAATATATGTAATTAAAATATGTAGGGGTTGTTCCCTTGTACACTTGTTGATTATGATAATTGATAATGTACGGGGATGACAAATAAAGAGATACGTCCCGTAGTGACCGCTCGATGTTACACACTGATTTATTGTATAGTAATAATATATTATATATGCTGCGTAAGTGATAGTTTATAAGAATATGTTTATTATAGTACGGTGTTCCTTACAAAGTGTCTGTTTGTAATTTCAAATTAACTCCATATGTTTATTAAAAAAATGTTGTCTGTCTATTTGTTCTTGCTAATCTCTGAAGCGGCTGGACTTATTTTGACAGGACTTTCACTCGCTGATAGCTAATGTTATAAGGAGTAACTCAGGCTATTATTTTAGAAATTTTGTTTATTTTAAATAAATGAAAAGTCAAAGGAATTCTACGTGAACGAAGTCGCGGGTAACAACTAATTAATAATATAACCCCGCATACAGGCGGACCATGACGAGTTGTTGTGCAAGTGTAGGTACATAGATAAATATCTATAGTTTTATTCAAAACTGGCATTGACTACGTATCCCAACAAATTTACACTCCTTTTTAATGTACATAGTCTGATAAAAAAAAAGTAGTTAGGTTTAATAACAATGTTAAAAAACCGACTAATGAAATCAATTGATCATACGTTGATTTAACAGTTACTTACATAGTAGTCATTATAGAATGCAGGTTACTTAAGAAACTTAAGAAAAATTGAATGATTGAATGATTACCAAACTGTATCTTGTATGCATAAGTTGTAAACTTGAAGACTGCAAAATATTGTTAATGTTATTCTATTGTATGTTACAATAATTTTTACAATTTAATTTAATTTTTTTGTACGCTATGCGATGTACTTCATATTAATCAAGTTATATATAAATAACTTAATCTTTTATATGTACGAGTAATCTATAATTCTAACTAAATATATTGCAGCTAATAGAAAATTCGGTGTATTTTATTATTTTTATATAATTTCTCATTTACAATAGATCTTCTTAATAAACACATATTTTTAAATAGCTCTACTCTGCCATACGCAGTGATGTGTACACGTTTACTTTTTAACCGGCGTGTAAGTACAATATTTAACTTACATGTACAAACGAGTAACTCTGTCCGTACTTATTGTATAGGATATAGGAGCACTCGGTCACTGTTCGCGTGCGAGCACTCGTGTCTCGTCACAGTAGAGGGGTCCGCGGCCGCCTCTCGACCACCGCTCGCTCGCCGGCCGGAGGCGGACTGCCGCCGACTGCCGCCGACTGTCGTCGTGTCGCCGCGGTACTCCACAACCGCCGCCGCCCGTCACTTGCACCGTCGCCGTCGCCGTTAGGGTTACCACCCGTACTTCATAATAAAATATTGTACGTTATTTCAGGTAGTTGTACCTCTATACATTATGTGAATAATAAAGTACAAGGAAATACTTTATTTCACATGATTTGATTTGAAAAGTTTAGTCCTATGTATCTTTTCATTAAGCGAAATTTATTTCCGATTGGTGCTGGCTGAATCGATGTTATTCGTTAGGTATTTATTTTAATTTAAATATAGACTGTAAAGATGTGAGACACTAATCTTATACATTACTTTATATAATATACTAAACGAATAGTAATAATTGATAGTGTATAATACTTTGTATCAAACAACCTGCAAAAAAATATGTTTTTAAATATAATAATAAATAAAAATAAATTGTACTTGATACTATATACATTTTTATTACCTATATAATAACCAACGTATTTTAACTGCAAACAAAAGGTGGCAACCCTAGTCGCCGCGCCGTCCTAGTAGCGCAGTGATCTAGTCACTGCGAGTAACGAGCGAACGTAAGTACATAACGATAATCATTTGTAAAGACTTCGCAAAGTTTTTTAAGAGGAGTGTCCATGCAATTAAATTACTTGTTACCTACATCGTTTCTTTAGTATTTTAATATTCTTTTTTGGATTATTAAAACGAGAGAGCTGAGATAGGTCCTTTTTATGGTGAAAATCGAGTTTTTTCAGTTGCACGTCATTTTGTATAGCTGTTAATCACAATTATCAATTGTAAAACTTAAACTTGAAATTAGTTAACATCATGAGACATCTTTCCGAATGAGCGGTAGATTAAAAGAATGATAAAACTATGACTATTCAAATGTGCTTAAATCACAGACAACATAATATTACATAGCTTAAATTAAGTTTATTTGAACAAATTCATTTCAATTCAAAATTGTAATTCATTCGAGTTCTGAATACACAGCTAAATTGCACGCTGCACAATTGCAATTGTAAAGTAGTGCTTGAATATAAATATTTCAAACAAATGAGAATTGTTATTCAAAACTGATCAATTTAAATCGGTTTGATTTAAATTGATCAGATCTGAATCAATTTCAATCAAACCGATTTAAATCGATCAGTTCTGAAAACATTGGATACTAATATTGCGTCGAAGCCAACAATGTCGGCTGTATAACTTTATACGTTTGTGCTCAACAGCTCGTAAACTAGCTGCAGAAAGCGCCTGATATTGTAGTAATAGCAAATAATAAACACGAACCAAGAGCAGAGAGCTGCCGACGGCAGCCTGCCTACCTAATATAATCAACAAACCACTTCGGCGAAAATTGTCCGCATTCTGTATGGAAATTTTATATGAAATTTAGAGCAGAGTCGCGTTGAATTGAACATCACTCACCACCATCTTGAGAGCAGTACACCGATGCGACCGTAAAACTATTCATACAACCATTAGAAGCTCCAAGACTGTTAGTTGTAATTTATAAAGGAAGATTTTTTTGTAATCGGATTAACCTCCACGCGGTTTTGTTAATGTATCACAACGCTTTCATCATCTGCTTATTCCTTATCCCATTTACTTGAAGTCAACGTAATATGTTTTTCTCTACCATTCATCCCTGTTCGCAGTCATCTCGTCATATTACGAGAGAATAGTTCTGGCTTCAGTTTTTTTATGACCGGCCGCCTGCCTGACGTCAACCTTCCTAGAGCATACTCGTAGGCTGCAAGTTATTTAGATTGTGTATTACAATGCTTTAACTGTTCTTTATTTAGTCATCGTTCCTTCAGCAACTGGTGGCATCCTTACTTCAACCAGTAGTAAATGAAATAGAGCAGCCGCGATCACCATTTCATACTCACCCATGTGATAATGAAATGATATGGTAATGACATATTGGAAAGAACTTAGTAACATCGTTCTATAGCAATGTCTATTATATTATAGACATTGCTATAGCGATGAAGCACTAGTTCTTTCCAATATAGGACATATTGGAACCGCTTGGAGGTCAACCTAATATGGTACATTGCTATTAATAACCCTATTACGGTTCGCCTGGAGACCATCATAATAAATTCCTGTTGAATGTCAGGATGGGCTAACTGATCTGACCTCATGTTCATCTGTCATGTTCTCATCCTCTCATCTTCACTTCGGGGTGCAAGTAACCATTATAAAGCATTATCGCAGGCGGGTGCACCATACCTTCAAAATATCTGTCCGTCAGTAGTACCGGCTGACACTTATTTTAAAGTTAACGCCGTCCTTCACGTAAACAGCCGTGTACAGGCGGTTCAGGTAAGAAATGAAACTGAATAACAAATGGTATAAAAATATTATAGAAGGATCTATGTATTTATTTACCTACAGTACCTGTACCTACTTCATCAATTCAATCATCATCGTTTTCAATTAAATGCCAGTTGTAGCTATTTATGTGCAGTTCTTTAGCTATTTATGTGCTTTTTACAAATGGGCGAAAATTATAACGAATGGCAAAAATATCAATCATATCTGTAGGTTGAAAATCACAATCGAACTGACAATATCTAAACTTAACATTGTTCAAAATTTCGTTAGTCAAGGATTAATAGTACTAGCCAAACAAAAGGCAAACGTACTGTATAAGTGTCAGCTGCTTGTAGGACTGGACAAACTGGCGAACTGGTAAAGGCTCTACTACCGTTTTGATTCCCTATACACTATCAAATCATTGTTCGTTTTACTGACACATCCCATGCATCCATGTGTTGGTGTTGGATGGCAACTGAAGTTCGCTTAACAAACTATTTCTTCTATTATTAGTTCTATTATATTATCTATTATTAATATTAGTTTTTTTTTGTAATTATTTTGTATTATTTTGTAAAACAAAAAATAGAATAACAAACAGTGCGACACTGTTTGTTATTCTATTTTTTGTTTGTTTAATGAGTGTTTTAGTTTTTTCTTCTACTGAATAAATATCATTTCATTTCATATTATATTCTTTGACGGCTGAGTACCTGGTGATATAATTCACCACAATGAATTATATCACCTGTGTGGTGAGTGAGTGCACTGTGCTATATATTATTTATAAGCAGTGCGCAATAAATTAGAAATGTTAGTAAATGATATTAATATTAAACTGTTGGTCGATATTTAGTGAAGTTTTACAGTAGCACTCACCACACTCTACAACGAAGTTATCGCGGGCATCTCCGCAGGATACTACTAGTGGTAAATGAAACGACAAATGGTATTTTATTATTTTTTATTTGCACTTAACATCACTTAACTTCTTTAACTTGCAGACCTGCAACAAAATAATAACAGTATATTAAAAATTAAATATTTTTTTCACTAGAGGCCAGACTGCCGTGTGGAACTTTCAAAATAACACTATTAGATATATGAATTATTTACTATGGAAAGATTTCCTTTGGCAGAGTTAATCAATGACCTCTGCTTCATCTTAAGCTACAAGAATTTTCAGGGTCCAGACCTTTGTCCTGAGTAATGAAAAGACATGACAATGTTATTGTCTGGCCGGTATTTAAGAAAGTTCTAAAATACAAATACTACATCATCATATTATAAAATTAAAGCTATGTGAATAGTGTTGTTTACATTCTACAGCATAATGAATATAGGCAGTATTGCTACTAGAAAGAAAATAAAATTATTTTTTAATAATATTTTTATTGGGTCTTTTTAGAAGTCAACTCACTGGTATTTTCTAGATTATAGGACTGTGACAGACAGATAGACAAATGGTTTGGTTTTATTTTAACTTTCTTGGTAGAAACCCTATAGCAGGGTAGGCGGACCTTTATGCATCAACATGCAATTTTTCAAAAAAATATTCAATGGGGTCATTGATGTGCCATCAAATAATTTTGACTTTCTGATTATTTGGAAAATAATAATAATAAATACTATCAAAACTCTCTATGAAATAAAGTAAACAAAACAGGTACATTTTGGATTGTTTTCATTACAGGCATAAATTAAATTACTGTAATATTAGTGTGACTTCTGTTGCTGCAGGTTACAGTCAGGCTTGTACGATGTTACTTTTAGCAAAATGCATGCTGAACTGAATTCATCTGTCAAACGGTTTCTAACAGTTTTTAATGTTATTCATCTCTGAAAATAATGACTCACAGGCATAGGTAGGTGAAAATATTGTTAAAATAGCATGAGCCAGCTTCTTCAAACAGTTTTATGATTGACGATGTGCTATTGACGGCACGCGTGCCATGGGTTCGCCTTCCCTGCCCTATATATTACTTCAAATAATAACAAAAAGTAAATGGCATGGAATTGAAAGTAAATGTAGTTCTTTTCACTAAAATTAATCCAAAACAGTTGATTTAAACATTTTCCATTTAGTAATAGGGATGTAATCTATAATACCTGGTGGCAAGCTCTGCTTGAGCTTCTCTGCCTTCTCCTTATCTGTGATGACCAGCGTGTACAGAAACCGGGAACAGCGCACTTTGAACTTTACATTCTCTGAATTCTTCTTTATTTTCACAGCTGAAATATAATATGACCTATTAGTTATACAGTAATAACACCTACATGAGCACTCACTTTAAAGACATATACATTGTAGTGTATCAATGTTGGCCCACAAGACGAGAACAGATCCTGATGACCAACTTCCTCTCGGCCGAATCTTCTAAAATAGTTAAGATATTTGTATTATGAAACTTAGTGAACATCTATGACGCCTGATAAACAACCACAATTTGAACCTAAAGGAAATTGATGCTCCACCACAACCCACACTCAGAACAGTCTCAGGCAGAGAGAAAGCAATTAATGAAATTGGGGTCGGGGCTCATGAACTCTATGTATTGTTGTGGGTAATAATATGCCGTTATCAGTTGAAATTATGTTTATTAAAGATGATGATATATTGACATCATCATCATCATCATCGCAGCCCGGAAGACGTCCACTGCTGGACATAGGCCTCCCCCAAAGATCTCCACGACGATCGGTCCTGCGCTGCTCGCATCCAATGCCTTCCCGCGATCTTGACCAGATCGTCGGTCCACCTTGCTGGAGGCCTGCCCACGCTGCGTCTTCCGGTCCGTGGTCGCCACTCGAGGACTTTACTGCCCCAACGGCCATCTGTCCTACGAGCTATGTGCCCTGCCCATTGCCACTTCAAAGTCGCAATTCTTCGGGCTATGTCGGTCACTCTGGTTCTTCTGCGGATCTCCTCATTTCTGATTCGATCACGCAGAGAAACTCCGAGCATAGCCCTCTCCATTGCCCTCTGAGTGACTCTGAGCTTATTGATGGGGCCCATAGTTAGCGACCACGTCTCTGTTCCGTAAGTCATCACTGGCAACACACATTGGTCGTAAACCTTCGTCTTGAGACACTGCGGAAATTTGGACGAAAAGATATATCGGAGCTTCCCGAACGCTGCCCATCCGAGTTGGATTCGACGATTGACCTCTTTCTCGAAATTGGATCTACCTAGCTGGATAGTTTGCCCTAAGTATACGTAGTGATCGACAATTTCGAGTGTAGAATCTCCGATTTTTACGGGAGCAGGTACGACATGGACGTTTGACATAATTTTCGTCTTGTCCATGTTCATTTTAAGACCTACTCCTTGTGAGACTCTACTGAGGTCTTCGAGCATTTTGCTAAGGTCTTCCAGGGTCTCAGCCATGACCACGATATCGTCGGCAAATCGAAGGTGATTGATGTACTCGCCGTTAATGTTGATGCCCAGCCCGCTCCAGTCCGGAAGCTTGAAGACATCTTCCAACGCAGCGGTAAACAGCTTTGGCGATATGACATCGCCTTGTCTGACACCTCGCTGCAGTTGGATAGGCTTCGAATTCTGGTCGTGGAGGCGAACTGACATAGTGGCGTTTTCATACAAACATTTCAACGCTTCGATATATCGATAGTCAATTTGGCACCGCTGGAGAGACTGTAGCACAGCCCACGTCTCGATCGAATCAAAGGCTTTTTCATAGTCCACAAACGCCAAGCAAAGTGGCAGGTTGTATTCTTCGGTCTTCTGAATTACCTGCCGCAGCGTATGAATGTGGTCTATGGTACTGAAGCCTTTTCGAAACCCGGCTTGTTCGGGAGGCTGGAAGTCGTCAAACCTGCGCGCGAGACGATTCGTGATGACTCTCGAAAACAACTTATAAACATGGCTCAGCAGTGTTACGGGTCTGAAATTCTTCAGAAGCGATTTGTCTCCCTTCTTGAAGAACAGAACCACCACACCCTTTGCCATGCTTGAGGCGTTTTGCCCTCGAGGATGACGGAGTTGAATAGCTTCTGGAGGATTCGTAGAACAGGTCTACCTCCAGCCCTCAGAAGCTCAGCAGTAACTCCATCATCGCCCGGCGCCTTGTTGTTTTTAAGTTGTTTAAGAGCCATACCAATCTCGTACAGGCTGACGTCCGGGATATCTTCGGTATAGTGTCGGGTTAATTTGGCTCTAGGGTCTTTCGCCGTGTTGTTAACAGGTGCCCGTGTTGTCGTGTATAACTGTCCATAGAACTTCTCAATTTCCCTCAAAAGTTCGGGTTTAGACGAAACGATCCTGCCGTCATCCGTCCTAAGTCGCGTCAGCTGGCTCTGTCCGGCAGCCAGATCCCTGTTAAAGACTTTTGAGCCCTTGTTTCTCTCAATAGCCTCCTTTACACAATTTGTGTTAAAGTGGCGTAAGTCACGAGTCAAGGACTTAGAGATCTGCCTGCTAAGTTGCCGATACTGAGAAGCGTCAGTCGGAGACTGCAGGACCATACTTCGCCTTTCATCCATCAATTTGAGGGTAGAGATAGATATTTTTCCGGTTCTTTCTGCGCGGCGGGTTTTAAAGTGCTTAGACCCAGCCGCACGGACAGTTTCCACGAACCTGTTGTTGTAATCGTCCACGTCAACGCAGTCACCAAGGCTTTCGAAACGGTTTTGCAATTCTAGCTGAAAGCTTTCGGGGTTTTGGATCTGTATAGGTGTAGGGCGGAGCGTAGATTTCATCAGTCGGGATCGTTCGAGTTTCAGATTCAGATTCAATGTGCCTCTTACAATCCGGTGATCACTTCCAATTTTGACGGCATTGATCACAGAGACATCATTGAAAATCTGTCTTCTCGTTGACAAGATGAAATCTATCTCGTTTTTTGTGGCACCATCGGGACTAATCCACGTCCATTTCCGGTGTTCCGGCTTCCTGAAGAAGGAGTTCATCATAAAGAGGTTCTCCTTCTCCATGAAGTCGGCCAGCATTTGACCTCGGAAGTTCCGATCACCGATACCAAATTGCCCCACTCTCAGCTCATCACCGCTTCGTTTGCCCAATTTTGCGTTAAAGTCCCCCATGATAACGCTATAATGAGTCTTTGTACTATGTATGGCTCTGGAGATATCCTCATACATAGCCTCAACCTCATCGTCGGAGTGCGTCGAAGTTGGAGCGTACACTTGGATGACCTTCAATGAATACCGTTTGGTAATTCTGAGTATCAGGTACGCTACCCTAGTCGACACGCTCTCGACCTTGATAACATTATTCACAAGGGACTTGTGGACGAGGAACCCGACACCGCCTTGGGACAGTTGATCGCCCTCCCGGAAGTAAAGCAGATTGCCGGATTTCAGGACTATCGAGTCCTCCCCCTTTCTTCGGACTTCAGATAATCCCACGACATGCCAGTGCAATCTGCTCAACTCTTCCTCCAGTTCAATTAACTTTTCGTCGGTCCGCAAACGTTGTATGTTGCCAGGGCCAGTGGTCGTCGTTTGTGGTAGCCTGGTCTTACCTGGGGATTCTTCGCACCCCTGCCCCGCCGTTTCCATGACCGCTACCATGGTCAAGACTAGCGGGGCCGCCGGGGACTGGGGGCCGGGGCCTTGGGTGTAAATTCATTTGGGGGGATATTGCCATAATCGCCACGCTTGGCATGCGGGTTGGCGATCGCAGTATGATGGTAGGTACTCAGTAGGACGCTGCTGCCCGTCCACTGGTCGATGAATCCCTTAGTCGCCTTTTACGACACCCACGGGAAGAGAGGGGGTGGTGCTATTCTTACAGCGACACCACACGCTTTATATTGACAATTGTACATAAAATATTGATCTTACATACTAAATAACAATAGCAAAATGTAAGGTGGGGTGACACAGTTTAGATGTGGCAGTGCTCAATAGACATGTTATGAAACTAAGTTTAATAAAAAGTTGAAAATAATAAAGTAACTCACACTTAGCGTCTGGTCTCCGTGCCTTTAGTAAAAAGTCTTTAATGTCTTTGATTTCACGCGGCTGAAAATGAAAACAATTTGAGATTAAACATAAAGAGTGACTACTCGAGCTAGCTCCTCACACCCACACACTATGGAATGGCCTCACTAATGTTTTTCCAAAAACTAAATTATGCTGTTGTAACTTTAAAAAATAAACAATAACAACTGTTGACCAATGCTTTTTGAAATAATTTGATTGTAGAACACACCACAAGTTATCTTCAAATTTGGTTTCAATTGGTTGTAATAAAATATTATAGATGTATAACAGTGATATACTTAATAAATAATACTAGTATATACTACCAAAATACATAATACATATTTAATAGGAATGGACCTTGTTTTACAAAAAGATTAAATATATGATTTTGTTCAATACTTAATAAATAAGAAGCTGCAGAAAATGTGAAGTTAAGTCTCAAGACAAGGCACATTTTATAAAATGTAACTGCTAGTGTAACTCATGAATATTACAGAACAAAGATAGCAGAGTACGTGGTAGTCATGTTAATATCCGGAGTAGTACTCGCTACGCTATTCCTGAAGATTCTGGTCGGCACCAGTCTTCAGTTTTGTAGTAATCTCGTGGATTGTATTGACACTTTTCAAATCGGACCAAAACAAATTGTAGTTTTTAACCGTACTATACTGGTGTTATCACAAAAATTGATACGTGCATATTTAGGCGAATGGCTCAAAACTGTTCATCATCAATTATAAACATTTTGATACACTTCTCCAAAATAAAAACAAAAAATATATTCTTACCATGGTGAACAATCGGTCTGACACTTGCACTGAAATAGTAAAACACAGAATATAAAAATAAAAGTTTCAACATATAGATATATACGTTACACAGAAATGTTACTATTTCATATAAATAAATAGTATTTTGATACGACGATTTATTACGATTATTAAAAATTTCAAAACATCACTTTACTCACCTGTCAAGAAGTTGAACACCAAAAAAAGAAAGACATTATTTTTTTTTTACTTTATTATTAGGAACCGGATGAGAGTCCTTCAGCCGAGATATTAAAAGACAATGCAAATTTTTATATAAGCAAAAGTAATAACAAATAAAGAATTATCAGCTACTATTATATCAGAAACAAACATTTCTTTAGTAATATTTAGATAATCTTAAATTTTATCTACCAGTGAAATAAAATTATAAATAAAATATGCCAACCGTCGCGTTTACCTCCACTAATTTGCCCAAAATTCCCCTAAATATTGAAGAATAATACATCGAATAACAATGTGATTGTGTCTTATTTATTAAAATAATATTGCAGTATGAATATTTATATTAATATATATTCGATTATTTGTTAATTCATTTTTAGTGGAACAAAGTGACTTAAAAAGCAGAAATATCTACAGAAGGAATTTAAAAAATAGGTTTGACAAAATATTTGTGAATGACTTTCCATAAAATCGATTATCTATAGAAATACATTTTCATTTAAACGATTATTGTATTAATAAATATATAAACAATTATTAAAACGCAAATTACAAATTAGTCCATATACTTATACTAAAATATCATTCCACACTCAGTCTGTACGTGTCTGTACCAGTCTTTATTTTTTTTTATCTGTGAGGAACCCAAATTTCCTATCCCGTTACTTTGTTATATGATTTCATTAGAAATGCATACATACAATTCTTTACAGAGTAATAAGACTTAGAATATCAATAAGTAATGAAAAATTGTTAAACTCTAAAACGATTTTACAGTATAGATGGATCAGTGTAGTCTAACATTATCTTATCTGTGGTTCAACTAAAGCGAAAAGTTATCTGTGGATGTGACATCTTTGGCAGTCTGTGGAGATAAGTGATCTGTGGAAATAATATTTATTTGAACCTATTTCAACCAATCTTAATTGACACATTTTATTGTTTTCGGTCATGAAACCCAGCGACATACATATTACTCCACAAAAAACGGTTAATTTCGTTTAGAATGAGCGAGTATAAGTGAGAACCGATAGCCAGAATGGAGGCTCGTGGCGGGCTGCGCTGCAGCGCGAGACTCAACGGTGAGGCGAGTCGTTCCTCGACGGGTACGAGTAGCAACGGAGGCAACCTCACCGTAAACAAGAGACCGCTGGCGGCGGCGGCGGCGGCGGCGGCGGCGGCGCTGCGGCGGGCGCGGGCCGCCGAGCGCGCGCGGGAGGTGGAGGACAGCCCCAGGGTGCTGCGGGACAAGTGCCGCCGGCTCGCGCGCGCCCTGCGCAACGCCAAGCATCTCGTCGTGAGTTACTCTTCGTTGCCTCCTTTGTTCGCTCACATTTTTGGTATACCGAGTGCCTGTAACGTGATGCAATGTGTACAGGTGTACACCGGTGCGGGCATCAGTACGGCTGCTGATATTCCCGACTATCGTGGGCCGCACGGAGTGTGGACGCGACTACAGCGGGGCGAGACCGTAGGGTCAGTGTTTTGATTTCATATTATATTTATTGGATGATAACTATAAACAACCTGTTGGTGCACCATCTGTAATGAAATGGTAACTGTACGGCTCTTGAAAAATAAAAACACACAGATATATATCAGCGATTGAAGAATTTTGCAATCTATCATTATATTTCACCATATTTACATAATATCTTTTAAAATTATACCCAATGACTTATGAGATGATTAGCATTCTATGTATTCACCATGCAGATGCCGGGTCCATCCTCTGGGAGTTCATAATGCTCTTCATGTGCCCATTAAAATAGTCCAGACATGTGTAATACATAATATTGAAATTGTATTTTGAGTATCAAGTTGAGCCTTCTTTTATAAAATTAATTTGTGTTTTGTTGTTAATCATTTTTGGTCTGGCTATTGTAAGATTTATAGCTTCACATATAATTAGAAGTACTCTATCAAGGCGTCAGAGTAATCCCTCTGATAGAGGAGGACCTTTTATTCATTTATATGCTGTATTACTGTAAAGTTTTCTAGCATACCATGGATTCACTATGCGGTTGTCAGGCATGAACCTGTAGCAAAAAGGGAGTAGTTCCAGGGAATTGGAACTGGGTGTAGGTTTATAGGGTTCCTTGCTCATGGTGTTGATGTATACACTCACAATTTCTCTCTCATGACAGATAGAACTGCCAGTAGACTGATAGTGTAGCTTTAGATACACATTCTAATATATAATTTACTACAGTTCCCTAGGATCTACTAAGATTTTTTAAAAATTGTAGAAAAATTTTGATGGCATTGGTATTTTTTTGTTCCATTTTGACTGCATTTAAATGAATCATGTAGCTTTTTACTTATAAACAAAAGGTTGTCCGTAAACTAATATTCTATAATATTCTGTATTCACAATTATCCCTTTTTCCACACTCATTACAGCTGCTCACAGACTGCTTACAGCACACTAGATATATTTTAAGAAAAAGAAATAGAATATATTTTAAGTTTTTCATTAAGAATAAGAGGTGTGGCCATGAAAATGCACTGTGGCATGTTATTGGTGTCATAAATAATAATAATAATAAAAACCTTTATGTATGTATAATAATAATAAAGTCATGTTAGTCTATAATTTAGTAATTTTTTTTTTATTTCCACATCTGAATATCAACAGTCTGTCATGTGATATAGGCCTCCTCCAAGTATTTCCATAGCATTCATTCCCTTGCACTCTGAGTCTAAACTTTCCCTGCTACCTTCCTATTTTTTGGTCTGTCTGCCTCTGTTTCTTTTGTGTCTTTGGGTACCACTCTGTAATGTCTTTTGTCCAGTTTGGTATTTTTTCCCTCATCATGTGCCTAGCCTGTCCACCACCACTTCATAGATTTAACAGTTGTTTCTACATTTTAAAATTTTGTTTTTTCTTTTATTTTTGTTAGGTTAATTTCGTCTCCTAGTTTAACACCGATAACACTTCTTTCTATTGAGTTCTGCCATACTCTTGGTCTCTGCACGTTTCTCTGTAGCGCTCCAAGTTTGGCACCCATATGCTAGACAGGGACTATTCTGTTGGTGTAACGTATCGGTGTGGCGCAGGCGCGTGGAGGTGTCCCGGGCGCGGCCGACGTTCACGCACATGGCGCTGACGGCGCTGTGGGCGCGCGGCACGCTCAAGTTCGTGGCGTCGCAGAACTGCGACGGGCTGCACGTGCGCGCCGGCCTGCCGCGCCGCGCGCTGGCCGAGCTGCACGGGGACATGTTCGCGGAGCTGTGCGCCGCCTGCCGCCGCGTCTACCTGCGGGCCTTCGACACCACCGAGCGCACGGCGCGGCACGCGCACGCCACGCGCCGCCTGTGCCACGACTGCGGCGCCGAGCTGCGGGACTCCATCGTGCACTTCGGGGAGCGCGGCCGCGCCGCCTGGCCGCTCAACTGGGCCGGGGCGCTGCGGCACGCCGCGCGCGCGGACGTGGTGCTGTGCCTCGGCTCCAGCCTCAAGGTGCTGCGCCGCTACCCGCGCCTGTGGCGCATGCACGCCGCGCCGGCCGCGCGCCCCGCGCTCTACATCGTCAACCTGCAGTGGACGCCCAAGGACTCGGTGGCCGCGCTCAAGATCAACGCGCGCTGCGACGCGGTGATGCGGCAGGTGGCGCGGCGGCTGCGGCTGCGCGTGCCGCCCTACCGCGCCTCCCGCGACCCCCTGCTGGCGCACGCCGAGCCGCTCGCGGAGCCCGAGGCGCACACCTCGCGCCGCCCCCCGCTCCGCGCGCCGCCCGCCTCCGCCTCCGCCTCCTCCGACGAGCCCTCCTCGCCCTCCGCCTCCGACTCGGACGAGGAGCTGCCGCTGCGCCGCCTGGCCGACCGCCTGCGCGGCCGCCCCCCGCCGCCCCCCGCGCCGCCGCCGCCCGACCTGCTCCACGCCTTCCAGGTTCTACTCCCTTTCACTCGATTAGCGTGAGCTATACCAGATGACGGCAGATTTTTTTAGGTTTATATTGAGTTGCAAATGAGATATTATTAAATATTGGACATTTAATTATTTTATAACACTGTCCGTATTAGTTATTTCTATATCTTAGAAAAAACGGTAACAATGTTTTAGTAGAAGAAAACCCTCAATAGGTAACTATGAATAGTGGTTTATTTGTTATATATATAATATATACAAAATTTATCAATAAAGACTTCATAGATTAAGGTTTATTTGTGTATACTATTTTTAAATAAATCATTGAATCGAAAGTTGAATTATGTTACAGGTCAACATGCGGTCCGGGGAAGCGACCATTTTGTTGCGTGCCGAGCACGCGCCGACTCTGTGCAGTCAGCGTGCGACGTCGCCCGAGCGGAAGACCACGAGCGCGCTGCGGCAGTACAGGAGGCCGCGCCCCCCGCCCCGCGCCAACGGATCCCTCGCCGCCCCGCCCACCGCCGGCACCGCCTCGCCGCTCCTCATCGAGCCCAAGAAGGAGGAGGACGAGGGCGGCGGCGACGCCCGCCGCGCGCCCTGGGACCTCGGCGGCGGCCTGCGGCGCCTGCTCCACCGGCCCGCGGACGCCAACGGACTCGCGCCCAAGACGGAGTTCAAGGCCGAGCCCGAGTCGGAGTCGGAGGGCGAGGTGAAGTCGGAGGCGGGCGAGTGGGAGGAGCCGTCGGCGGAGGCGGCGGAGGCGGCGGCCGGGTCGCTGGCGGCGGCCATCATCGCGCGCGCGGTGCTGGTGTGCCGCGCGTCGCTGTACCCGGGGCTGCACACCATCCTGGCGGCGCCGGCGGACGCGGTCGAGTGCGCCTGGTGCCGCGGCCGGTACGGCGCGCGCCGCTGCCTGTGGTACGGCCCCCCGCGGACGCCCCCGCCCGACCGCCGCGTGTGGCGCCGCGCGCGCGGCCGCCGCCTGCTGTGCGCCTGCTGCGCCGGCGACGACGCCCCCGCCCCCGGCACCCCCGCCGCCCCCGGCACCCCCGCCGCCGCCGACGACGACGGCGGCGGCTGGTACGGCAAGGGGTACCGCAAGGGGCGCCGCCGGAGACGGTAGCGCGACACACGCTCCCCCTCGCCCCCCTCGCCCCCCTCGATCCCTCTCCCCGCGACGTCGCACGTGCCCGCATCGCATCGCACCGACCGAGAACGCGACCGGCGCGGCAGTATTAAAAATGTTTATATTAAAAAGAATTGTGAATAGTAATAATGTTGAATTGTACATATGAATTATTTAAGTCGACCGACGACCGTAGCTCGTAAGATATTCATATTTATTTTTTTTACCGTGGACTGGTACTGGTGACGTAGGTGTAGTGCCGCGAGTGAGGCCCCGCGCCGCCTCGACGTGCGGTGTTCACCGCAGCCGACCGGTGATGAGGTGATGAGGTGATGAGATTCCATTTGTAGGCGTGGACCGATCACCGCCAGTTAAGAATTAATTATCTTAGAATAATAATCGTGACTGAATATTTTATACTTCACATTATTGTAGCTTTAATTTAGTCAATTGTTTTACAGAAAATAAATATCGAGGTAGTCGATGGCTCCGTTCCCCGTGACAATGAACGACTTGATGAACATTCTGTGATAGTTTACGGAACAAAACTCGTTTACACAAACCGCCGCTAGTGTCGCAACCTAGTAGTAATCATATTTGTTGTGTCAGAAGTGCACTCGACTCGTACTGATCTCAATATACAAATATAAACATAAATATATAGATTATCTGAATGTACAATAACAATGTAACCACAAACCACAACTTGAATACACTGCTCGCACAAATTTTCTTTAAAACCGTACTCATGTTTAGATGAATCATGGTTTGGTTGATTGGACTGTGTTGCCAAATATTTAGTTAATAATTGCCTCGATTGATGGAAAATAAAATTAATAATTTAATTGTTTAATGCATTCTTATCGTGAACAGGTAAAATAACTTAAAGCACATCCTCAAAGTGATACGGCTCACATATTAGCTGAGTTAGATTCATTTGTACCGTTGTAACTGTAATTGTCATCACATGTTAGGTTATTTATTTTAGAAAATGAAAGTTGTGAACACTCACTTCTACTGCCGTGATGTATGACTATGTCGAACATATGTATGTGTGTGTATATCGACAATAACGAATGAACAAAGACGAAGTGTTAGTGTTGGTCGCTGGGAGGCCGGCGCCGCGGCCGAGTACCGGCCACAGTCTCTACAGACCACCTCACAGTAATGTGCGGCCGCTATGACTGCCAGGCGGGAGCTGGCCTGCAGCCGCTCCAACTCCTTCCTTTGGTTTGGAGTGCCATCTGCACTCGCCCCCTATCGTCCGGTGAAGCTGTAAAGGCCAGCTGCGGCCGACAGCATTAGAGTAGTCCGAAAAAAAAATGAGTGACGGTACAATAATGCGTTGGTAACGTTTGGTCTGCTCGCTGTTACTGTTGACTATGATACTGTCACTGTCATATGGCGATATTTTTTATGTAGTATTAATTTGTGCATCACCAGAATACTCGTTGCCCTAGCTTAGAGTTGCCAACCGTCCTGTTTTCCCAGGACATGTCCTAGTTCTTATAGTGTCCTGGATAGTTTTAAGAAGCGCCCTGGGTTTTTCAAACGCTCTGAGAAGATGATGTATTTTATTTAAAAAATACTTTTAAGTATTGAAGACTGATTATGACCATTACTTGAATTTTATTAATTTAGCCTATTGACATTATATAATAATATCATTATAACAAGTATATTACTGAGTCCTGGTTTTATATTTGGTGTTGGCAACCCTACTCTAGTTTCCGTTGCAGTTTGCACAATAACTGAATAATTGAAGGTTGTGATGTACATAATTAGTTGTATAAGTACCGAACAATAATTATAAGAAGAACACGGCCAGTGTGTCGCGCACGCTCCTCCTCTGTACCTCCAATGTATTGTAAATATAACACAACTGGGACATACATGCACACCAATTATACTCCTGAACGAGTGCCGCCCGTAGGGACCGGCCGGCTCTGATCACTACGACTCATATACTCTTATATAGTTGCTCAACCAGTTGGTTGGATATTTAATTTTTTCGCATTTAATTGAATTAGTGCTAATTGGTAGTTTGTATTCACACACGTCAACTTAACGTGATGACTATTCAAAAGTACTTCAATGTAAGTTTATTTGAATAAATTATTTTTTATTCTATTATAATAATAAACAACAAACCAACATACAAAATTATTACATTGTCCCAGGTACTTATAATACTATTTGAAAATTGTAACAGTTTTTGTTTCAATGTTTTATACTTTTTTTTTTTTATTATTTAATTTTATCTATCGAGCCACGGTGCTGTGCTTGTGCTGCTATCGCGCCGTAGTGGCCGCACGTCGTGTAGAGTCGTTAGAGTACGTAGAGCGGCTGTTGACACACTGGAGTGTGGCGGCGACAGTCCCCCAACACTATTGTATAGTTTAATATAATTATGATATGTATCTATGTAATGTGCTGTAGATAGGGTGACGCGACATCGTGTCGTGATGTTCAATTGATGACTACCGTTTATAATTATGTAATTTGACTAATATTGGAATAAACAAATGAGCTGAATTTTGTATAGTGTGTTTCTTTTTATTGAACCCACTGACCCATAGAGTATCACATTTTAAAAATTGAAATGATTTTGTATTGCATCACAACTTTAACAGAAACGATTTCATATAGTGTTATATAATTAGCCCACAGATATCGAAAGTATATTCAATAGGCGTATCTATATTTTTTAATTTTGTATATTGCAAAACTACAAAAATGGGAGGAGCAAGCACCAACAGCACTATGTAAGATGTGTATGTCACGCTATGAGAACGGCGCGGAGATCAACTCGACATGGTACATTGAATCGACGATACTTTCCCCCAATTGCAACTACTGCTGATAAGACTGTCTCGGATGGTATGTGCAGGTATATGTGACCCTTACTTGTAGTGACGACATCTCCAGGAATTAACTACGATGGTTTCTAGACAGGATCACGCAGATGAACAAAATGTATAGTTGCGTAAGGCCACTAAGCCCCGTCGCTGAAAACCTATGTTCTTTTTGATTTGTAGTTGTATATATTTACTTATATCGTGAATAATCATGGGATAGGGATGGACTTGCCCTAATGCTTATGATTACTTTCGTTAGTGCTCACGGCTGTCTATTTCCGATGAGAGTGCTATCTCGTTTTATAGTTTTAGGTCGTGTTGTGTCAGTAATCGTATATGTAAGTTGTATAAAATTTTCTATTACAATTAATTATTGATTCGACATACATACAATGTCGGTGTATATTTATATTTCTTTGTGTTTAATGAACCCAAAAGATGTTCGTCCTGTGCTATAAATAGCGACTTATTTAATACAGTTGCACGGCACGTGTGCCGCGGACTGGGTACCGGCGCGCTAGCGGGAGAGCACCCGCGAGTGTCGTCGCTACAGCACTGTACGTGTGTGTGTGACCGGACATACCGGACATACCGGACGGCGCGGCGGCGGCACGCTAACTCACACGCTATCTCATTCTGAGGCGAGGGTCCAGCCCCGTATAAAAATTTGTTTGGGAACCCTTATACGAAGGGTAAGGATTTCAGCCTTACCCATTGCGAGGCCCCGGGCGGCAGTCTTTGCGAGTTCCCTTTGTCCTTCGTTTTTTTTTTACGTTTCTTTTTTCCGCCATTGCATCATAATTATATGCCTGTCACTTTTTTCACAATTTTTACAAACAATTAAAATTACATAACACTCTTCTTGCCTTTTCTTTTCTTTTCGGCAACTGATTTACTAAATCATTAAAATAAAAAAATTGCTTTTTTGTTTTTGTTTTTTGTGAAATAATAAAAAAAAAGGTTTGCAAGTTAATTTTGGTTTACGCACGTTGGGGAGCCCCGGTATAATTGGGTTCCTGCCTGACCCCTGGGTCTAGTCTTAAATCCGCTTCTCGGCCATGAGCGCGCGCGTCTCGTGTCTCACACCGCTAACCTAATACTCCGCGCCGCCCCGCCCACAGTGCCCGTACTAGAAGCTCGCTACAGACACGTCGGATGCTGTTATCTGAAGCGGCTTCCGTAAACGAGTACATTACTCTGCGTGAAGTGGACACCATGTTTACATTACCACCATTTATAATTAAAACGTCTGCTGCAGTGGAACGCGTGTTCATTAGTGTTCTCATTGCGTTCAAAATATAGTATTCAGAACATGTAGATTATTGTGGACATACATTTTCATTACAATTATTGATAGATAGATATTATAGAGATTATTATAGAGGTAAGTGTAAATTGTTGGTAATGAGTGATTAATACTATATAATAACAGCGTGTTGTATATCAATTGGGAGTAAATTTCTGTCTCTGCAACTCATAAGTAGTGGGTAAATGATTTCAACAAATTGTTTCAAGTTGTGAATAATGCTAGACTCAGGGGCCGACTAAGGTGTAGCAACCTAGGCACGTGGATAGGGCTCCTAAATTTTAAACTATCAAACTTCTTTCTACAGCATGCAATCAAATTTCTTTTTAAACCATCAAACGTAAACGTAAAGTATGTGTAAAGATTGAAAAATAGTCTTGGCATTTCAGTGATGCCTAGGACCCGGTCTGGACTTAGTCCGCCGCTAATAGTACTGTACATAATTGTGAGCTAGTTAATTACGGTTAGAGTCGGTGATTGGTAAGTATGCAGTTGTAATGATAACAATGGTGGTGCGGTCAGGGCGGGGCGATGGTGGTGGGCAGTGTACGGCGGCGGCTGGGCCGGCGGTGGTCGCGGGCGGCGGCGCTGGTGGCGGCGTGCTGCGCGGCGGCCGTGCTGGCGGGGCTGCGGCCGGCGCCCGACCTCCTCACGCAGGCAGAGTTCCCCGGCGTGCGGCCCGCGGCGGTGGCTCACCTGCTCGCGGACTACTCCTCGCACCCGTTGACCCAACGGTATACATTTCTTATTTAAATAAGTGCTTAGTAACCCGCGCAACTTCGTCTCCGTTTCTTTTGCAATATATTTTTCATTGCAGCTCCGCTCCCATTGGTCGTAGCGTAATGTTATATAGCCTAAAGTCGTCCTCGACAGTATGGATTATCACCGATTATCCAACACAAAAATATTTATTCAATTTGAACCAGCTCTTCAGCTTTATAATATTAGTTAGATAGGTAAATATCGTGGAAGGTCATGGACCTTACCATTCATGTGTTGTGTTGATTACTTGTAGCGTGTACTTGTAACATTAGTATTGAACTGAAACTTACGAGTCACGAAAAAGAGTTACCGTCGCGTGGAGGACGTCGCGTCGATATATCGCGTTGTGAGACAAAGACAAAGGCTGGTGGCGGTGGCTGAGAGAGGACAACGGCAGTCCGTCAAGTTTCTCTTCTACGATATGACCCAGTACACATTTCTTATTTTAGTGGCACGTGGTCCGTGGAGAAGGAGTGGAGTAACTACACGTCGTGGCAGTACATCGTGTCGTACGATTGCGGCGCGCGGTGCTCGGGCCGCGCCACCGTGGAGGCGCACGACCCGCACCACGACCCCCGCGCCGGGGCCCATGCTGGGTCCCACGCCGGGGCCCACGCCAGTGACGGCGGGGAACACCGTGTGCGCGTGGTGCACGCACACTGCACCAGACTGCCGCTGCTGCCGTGGCCTCAACTATGCGGTACATGTAGTTGAATTATTAATAATGTGACCAATGAACCCAATGCATGTACAATGTCAGCTCGATCTCTACGCGGTTCATCCTGGACACAATCGTGATATGGTATTCGCGAATTTATCACGATGGGTTATAGCTCATCTTATCATTCTCCACTGGTGCCCTGTCAGCATATTTACCATTAAAGCAAGGGGGTGCAATACAAAAAAAAAAAAGGAAAGAATTATAAAGTCACTACTGTAAGGATTTAGATAGAGATATTGACATAATTGAACTCCTACAATAATAAAACTGTCTATTTATGTAAATTACATTAGTAGATATTATTTATTACGCCTTTACTAGGTTACACCATATACAACACAATCTATATATATTTTATAGTATGAAATGAAAATGAAAAGATATTTATGAAAATTCACAACTATTTGCACTGCGTACAATCATCAACGTCGTATCACTCGTAACCATAAAAAAAAACCGACCCATATTTCAATTTTATGCAATAGCAGTACATGGGCTGGGACAAAGTCAAACATTAGCGTGTTTAAATTTTACTTTTTTTTTTTTTTTTTTATTTACGTTTAATACATTATTTAAATTATTAACCGGGTCTTAACACGAAATATTTTTATGACAAATAAAGGTATTTACCTCTCTCGACGTTTCGACTAGGTTGCACTAGCCGTGATCACGAGCTGACGACCACGTCGTGTGACACCACGTGTTAAGACCCGGTTAATAATTTAAATAGCGCCATCTAGTAACAGACATGAGAAACAAACCTTACTAGGTAACCATTAATATACAACTCAGGTTTAGTTTGTGGATACACATGTATACCTTTCCGACCGTAACCTTGTAACGGTGCACTACAATTTCTCGTTTTGATAGTGAATTAGGAAACTTCTTATAAACTTTAATTAGAGTGTTCATTGTGGTTTCGTAGGTGAGACGGACACGGAGACTGTGGTGCGGGGCGGGGGCGCGGAGGGCGGCGCGCGTGTGAGCGAGCGCGCCCGGTCGCGGTGCGTGGGCGCGGCGGCGGCGCTGGCGGCGCTGGCCGGCGCGTGCGGCGACCAGCGGCTGCTGCGCGCGCAGCGACACCTGCACCTGCAGCACCTGCGACGAGCGCTCGCAGCCACCGCACCGCACCCACCACTCTGAATAATGTACTTGGGAATATAAACAATAAAGAATACAAATTCAATTTTTTTTTTTTTTTTTTCTCAAAATATAGCAAAACGGGAATTTTGATATAACTACCAATGTAACGATCGATATTAATGTAACGATCAGCCCCTAAAAACCAGCAATATATACATTACAAGATGCAAGTACATAATATTTAACATACTAGATGTACCCGCAACTTCGTCCGTGTAAAATAATCATGACCAAAAAAAAAAATATTTAATAAACTAACCCAATAATGCCAAATAAAAAAAAAAAATAAATAAAAAAAGTTTAAACGTTAAAACGTTAGTTTAAAATGACGACACTTCCATACAACCTTACACCTACTCTTTTAACAACAGCCTATGTCCTTTCTCCGGGTATAGACCTGTGTACTAAATTTCATTGAATTTGGTTCAGTAGTTTTGACGTAAAAGCGAGACAGACAGAGTTACTTTCGCATTTATAATATTAGTAAGGAGTAAGGATAGTAAGATGTTATACATATACACACATATCTATGTTTATATATGTATAAGATGTTATACATATACAAACATAGATAAGGAAGTAAGGATGTTATACATATACACAGAGTTATTCCGCCGAAGGCACTGAGTCTACCAAAAAGGTCTGTTCTGTGTATGCATGGACCTAAAACCTTTTCTCCAGATCTACTCCACACTGTAATACGTCGATTGTCAATCGAAAACTTATGTAAGTTTACATCACCAGTAAAGAGCACTGCAGCACTGTCCTCAACATTAAGTACAATCCAGGTATTGTCTTGCATACCTTAGACGATCTGCACAATATACTGCACTTAACTGAATACGAACTAAACATTTTCTCGAGTAGTTGTTGGTCTTCATGGAGTCGATTTCATACAGTTTGGTCGCTCACATGAGTAGCTCGGCATAACACGTTTTGTACGGTCCGCGCCGTGGACGTTCGCTCTTTTCGTTCTCGAGCTGTTGTAACCCGAACTCTTCCTGAACCACGACGTCTGGCGACCGATGTAATAACCGACTCCATCCAGACATTTCAAACTGCCCGCCGCTACCTAATACCTTACCTTACCATTAAACCTTCAGCGCGCAGACTGTGACCCTCCTCGGTTAAAGTTATTATTACCCTAGCGGCTGTAAGTACATCCATATCACACCCCGAATTTTGAATACAAAGACACAATATGAACCTGTTAGTGCAAGAAACCCTAATCAAAAGTTATAAAATTAAATTTCACAAAAACATAATACATATATTCAAGAGTTATCAACTTAAGTGTTAAAAACAACACAAAAAGTGTACCCACCAAATTGATTTCTTACTATAAATATTAGTGACACACTTTAAAGAACCCATAATTTAAAATTTACAGAGTATTACGAACTTTATATATAAGTTGTTAAATTGTAGATCGCAGCTATCTTCATGGCTTCATTGGACTCCTTCACTCCTTTTTCTCTGTTAAAGTGCCGAGTTTTGTAGCAACTGATATCATCTGCTGTCGTGTCGCCGCGAGTACTTCCTCGACCACGAGTAATTTATAATATATAATTATAATTGTCCTAACAGTAACACCATTGCACGCTAGATGGCGCGGCCTACAAAGCAAAGCAAAATAAACGAGCAATTTAACGCAGTACGTAGTACTACTATCGCCCACTAGATGGTGGGTAAGGTAAATGTAAATGGCGATAGAGTTTCGATTTGGAAATAGCATACTTATATCTGAAGTCCTTGCAATACCTCCGGTTTAGGTTTAGGTTTAGGTTTAGGTTTAGGTTTAGGTTTAGGTTTAGGTTTAGGTTTAGGTTTAGGTTTAGGTTTAGGTTTAGGTTTAGGTTTAGGTTTAGGTTTAGGTTTAGGTTTAGGTTTAGGTTTAGGTTTAGGTTTAGGTTTAGGTTTAGGTTTAGGTTTAGGTTTAGGTTTAGGTTTAGGTTTAGGTTTAGGTTTAGGTTTAGGTTTAGGTTTAGGTTTAGGTTTAGGTTTAGGTTTAGGTTTAGGTTTAGGTTTAGGTTTAGGTTTAGGTTTAGGTTTAGGTTTAGGTTTAGGTTTAGGTTTAGGTTTAGGTTTAGGTTTAGGTTTAGGTTTAGGTTTAGGTTTAGGTTTAGGTTTAGGTTTAGGTTTAGGTTTAGGTTTAGGTTTAGGTTTAGGTTTAGGTTTAGGTTTAGGTTTAGGTTTAGGTTTAGGTTTAGGTTTAGGTTTAGGTTTAGGTTTAGGTTTAGGTTTAGGTTTAGGTTTAGGTTTAGGTTTAGGTTTAGGTTTAGGTTTAGGTTTAGGTTTAGGTTTAGGTTTAGGTTTAGGTTTAGGTTTAGGTTTAGGTTTAGGTTTAGGTTTAGGTTTAGGTTTAGGTTTAGGTTTAGGTTTAGGTTTAGGTTTAGGTTTAGGTTTAGGTTTAGGTTTAGGTTTAGGTTTAGGTTTAGGTTTAGGTTTAGGTTTAGGTTTAGGTTTAGGTTTAGGTTTAGGTTTAGGTTTAGGTTTAGGTTTAGGTTTAGGTTTAGGTTTAGGTTTAGGTTTAGGTTTAGGTTTAGGTTTAGGTTTAGGTTTAGGTTTAGGTTTAGGTTTAGGTTTAGGTTTAGGTTTAGGTTTAGGTTTAGGTTTAGGTTTAGGTTTAGGTTTAGGTTTAGGTTTAGGTTTAGGTTTAGGTTTAGGTTTAGGTTTAGGTTTAGGTTTAGGTTTAGGTTTAGGTTTAGGTTTAGGTTTAGGTTTAGGTTTAGGTTTAGGTTTAGGTTTAGGTTTAGGTTTAGGTTTAGGTTTAGGTTTAGGTTTAGGTTTAGGTTTAGGTTTAGGTTTAGGTTTAGGTTTAGGTTTAGGTTTAGGTTTAGGTTTAGGTTTAGGTTTAGGTTTAGGTTTAGGTTTAGGTTTAGGTTTAGGTTTAGGTTTAGGTTTAGGTTTAGGTTTAGGTTTAGGTTTAGGTTTAGGTTTAGGTTTAGGTTTAGGTTTAGGTTTAGGTTTAGGTTTAGGTTTAGGTTTAGGTTTAGGTTTAGGTTTAGGTTTAGGTTTAGGTTTAGGTTTAGGTTTAGGTTTAGGTTTAGGTTTAGGTTTAGGTTTAGGTTTAGGTTTAGGTTTAGGTTTAGGTTTAGGTTTAGGTTTAGGTTTAGGTTTAGGTTTAGGTTTAGGTTTAGGTTTAGGTTTAGGTTTAGGTTTAGGTTTAGGTTTAGGTTTAGGTTTAGGTTTAGGTTTAGGTTTAGGTTTAGGTTTAGGTTTAGGTTTAGGTTTAGGTTTAGGTTTAGGTTTAGGTTTAGGTTTAGGTTTAGGTTTAGGTTTAGGTTTAGGTTTAGGTTTAGGTTTAGGTTTAGGTTTAGGTTTAGGTTTAGGTTTAGGTTTAGGTTTAGGTTTAGGTTTAGGTTTAGGTTTAGGTTTAGGTTTAGGTTTAGGTTTAGGTTTAGGTTTAGGTTTAGGTTTAGGTTTAGGTTTAGGTTTAGGTTTAGGTTTAGGTTTAGGTTTAGGTTTAGGTTTAGGTTTAGGTTTAGGTTTAGGTTTAGGTTTGGTTTAGGTTTAGGTTTAGGTTTAGGTTTAGGTTTAGGTTTAGGTTTAGGTTTAGGTTTAGGTTTAGGTTTAGGTTTAGGTTTAGGTTTAGGTTTAGGTTTAGGTTTAGGTTTAGGGAAACGTATAGGATAAAGTAAACGATTAGGATGACGTTTAGGTTTAGGTTTAGGTTTAGGTTTAGGTTTAGGTTTAGGTTTAGGTTTAGGTTTAGGTTTAGGTTTAGGTTTAGGTTTAGGTTTAGGTTTAGGTTTAGGTTTAGGTTTAGGTTTAGGTTTAGGTTTAGGTTTAGGTTTAGGTTTAGGTTTAGGTTTAGGTTTAGGTTTAGGTTTAGGTTTAGGTTTAGGTTTAGCTTTAGGTTTAGGTTTAGGTTTAGGTTTAGGTTTAGGTTTAGGTTTAGGTTTAGGTTTAGGTTTAGGCCGAGGTTTAGGTTTAGGCGGAGCCGCGTAGGCTTAGGTTTAGGTTTAGGTTTGTGTGTGTGGGTTTAGGTTTAGGTTTAGGTTTAGGTTTAGGTTTAGGTTTAGGTTTAGGTTTAGGTTTAGGTTTAGGTTTAGGTTTAGGTTTAGGTTTAGGTTTAGGTTTAGGTTTAGGGTTAGGTTTAGGTTTAGGTTTAGGTTTAGGTTTAGGTTTAGGTTTAGGTTTAGGTTTAGGTTTAGGTTTAGGTTTAGGTTTAGGTTTAGGTTTAGGTTTAGGTTTAGGTTTAGGTTTAGGTTTAGGTTTAGGTTTAGGTTTAGGTTTAGGTTTAGGTTTAGGTTTAGGTTTAGGTTTAGGTTTAGGTTTAGGTTTAGGTTTAGGTTTAGGTTTAGGTTTAGGTTTAGGTTTAGGTTTAGGTTTAGGTTTAGGTTTAGGTTTAGGTTTAGGTTTAGGTTTAGGTTTAGTTTTAGGTTTAGGTTTAGGTTTAGGTTTAGGTTTAGGTTTAGGTTTAGGTTTAGGTTTAGGTTTAGGTTTAGGTTTAGGTTTAGGTTTAGGTTTAGGTTTAGGTTTAGGTTTAGGTTTAGGTTTAGGTTTAGGTTTAGGTTTAGGTTTAGGTTTAGGTTTAGGTTTAGGTTTAGGTTTAGGTTTAGGTTTAGGTTTAGGTTTAGGTTTAGGTTTAGGTTTAGGTTTAGGTTTAGGTTTAGGTTTAGGTTTAGGTTTAGGTTTAGGTTTAGGTTTAGGTTTAGGTTTAGGTTTAGGTTTAGGTTTAGGTTAGGTTAGGTTAGGTTAGGTTAGGTTAGGTTGGGGCGTGGGTCGGGCAACCTCCTAGTATGGGCCTGCCATTGGGAGGCTTCCCCATCCTCGTGGATACGTCCGCGGGGAACGGTGGCCGAGCAATGGTTTGGTTCTGGTACGCCCCGGGCGGGATAGTAGTCGTTCCTTCGGGATACGGCTACTATGTCGGCCAGTAGCCCGGCAGGTTGGGCGGGTTTAGGATTCCTATGCCTCGACAAAAGTCGAGGACCCCGGAGTTAGGAACCCGCCCAACTTTTTCTTTTAGTCTTCTTTTTGTTTGTTTCTCCTTC